CAATTAGTCCTAGCATCGTAAGTACTGTCCGTAAACTAATCCCACATGTATGTAGTACTAATGTGTCCTCGACGGGTGACCAGGCGGCGAGAAATTTGGGAAATTGGATTAAGTGAGTGCGCAAATAATTGATTTTGCATAGAAGAGGTGCTATGAGTTGCATCTATGTGTACATAAATATACGAGTTTGCATGTAAGACTTGGACAGGCGTGTTCACTTCACTGACCTGGCAAAAAAATAAAGAGAAACAAAAATCGCTGTGCTTTTATGCATAATTAGGTATTTGCTTCTTCGAATTAGAAATGATTGTCGAGAATGTGTATGTTTAAGAAAATATATGATTTCGGAACATGACCGATGGGCTCTCAGATTGCATGAAGAGGTATCTTTTGTGTAAATTGTGGGTAAGTGCATACATACATATTGCAATATAGAAAATACTTCCTTTTGTTGTTGCATTCTGGGTTATTTTATGAACTGACGTTGCGCTCCTTTCCAATTCTTCGCTGCTTCGATTGCTGGGCTGCTTCAAATGCTACTGCATTATTTTTTGTGTTGTTTCGCTTTAGTTTATATGTATATCATTATTTTTTTTGTGTGCATTTTTTCTTTAATCAAAAGGTGGAGCAAATTCTTGTTATAATTTGTTGAGAAAACCTAAGGTAAATTCTAACTTGCCCATATGCTTAGCATGTGCTACGGAATAGTTTTTCGCATTTTCTGATGAACGTTTAATTTTGAGTTGCGTCACTTGAAGATCGTGTGCGATATGTAGTCTTCTTACATTGATTATGAGTTTTTTTTTTAATGTTTGAATTGTTCACTTTTTTGTAGGTGCTAATGTTTTACACTGCCACTTATTATTGTTTTTTTCTTTTCGAGTGTGGACTGTATGTTTATTGAACTGTCGCTGCTTATATTCTTGGCGACGAAGGACCATGTTTAAACGCGAGATGGTTTTTCTTTATTCAAATATATGTATTTATGAACATAGATAGATACAAATGGGATTTTATACGAATGAGGTGGTTACTCTGAAAATTATATAGGTGGATTAGTGAAGTCTTCGGCTCCCTTCCGCGCGCGTGGACTGTTACAAAAGGAATGAATGTTAAGATGAAGAAAAGATAGTAGGGAAATCAGAACATCAAAGAAACCTCACTAGGGTGTGCACAAAATGTTTTCCATAAATTTCTGTTTGCTACTCATATTGAAGACGAATCTTCAACAATAGTCAAAATTAAGTTCTAACTTAAAGTTGGTCATAACCATGATAAAAATATAGTAAGGTAGAACCGCTGAGAGGCACTTTTAAAATTTTTGACGTTTCCAACCATATTAATTTTAGAATTTACTCACACACTCACAGACACATTTTCAATATCAAGCAAAAACAATTTTGAACATATTCATTTTTAACCGACTTCAAAAAAAAGAAGGTAATCAATTCGTCGGAATATTTTATTTTTTTATGTATGTTACCGCATAACTTTGGACCACGTTAACCGATTTCTATAATGCCATTTTTAAAGGAAAGGTGGTACCTCAGAGATGGTCCCCTTCTAATTTGGTTTAGATCAGGTCATTGGAACATGAAGAAATTAACGGTATTATTAAATTTTATATGAGAATTGAAATCGGTTTGGTTTTTTTTCTTAAAAATTACTTGTTTTAATTTCATTTTTATATGATTTTAAAATTCTGGAAAGCTTCAAAAAAAAGTCGAACTGAGAGAACGGTTCTACCTTACTATACCTTTATCATGGTTATAACTTTATTCGCAGATAACCCATCCAAAATTATACCAAAAAGCTACAAATAGCTTTAAGTACCAACTTAATTTTGACTATGAATACGTTCAATTGCGTTAAATACAGTTTTTTAAAGACCATAAGGACCTACATTAATAATGAAAGTATTATCAAAAAAACTTAACATATTTACCTATTCTAGTTTTTAAAGCCAATTTTTTTATTTAAGAAACAAAGCACGTCAACATTTTTAGGCTTTAGTTGCGACCTTTTTTCGTTTACTATTAAAGCTGCTTTACTGAACATTCGTTCCGATTATACTGATGACGCTGGAATACATAGTTATTTCTGCCCGCACTCCTTTAAGGGTAAGAAATCTTCTTCTGCTAGCTTTTAATATAAAAACGAAAATATAATAAGGTGGTTTTTTAAAATAACCACGAAAACTATACCTTCCAGTAATCCAGAGGGTTTGTATTTTGCGCAGCATTTTGTCTCTCCAAGTACTGGTGCTTTATTAAAATTAAATCTGCCCGTTTTGACCGCCTTTTGTTTCTGTTTTTTTCGTGTAGAAATGAAAAAAGTGTATCTTCACCTTCCGTTGTTTCTTGTTGGGAAGGTGGTTGCGTGTGCGAATGTCCCATAAAATGCATAATTTCATTTTCAAGTAAATTTGATGTTTCGTTAGCAATATTTTCAGATATGAAAGCTTCTTTTTTAAAACGCGGATCTAGAATCGTTGCCATTCGTGTTGGCGGTCTAGTTTCATATATAATAAGTCGTTTTTAAATTCCCTCCAATAATTTAGAGTAAATATTGATACGGAATAATATATGATACTGTTATATAATTTCCGCTGCATTTTTCTGTTATAGTTGGAAAAGGAAGAAGTAGTTTTTCTATTTCCTCTAACGCTTGTATTTCACCAGCTGTAAGAGTCGGGGGCGCTTTTGGAGTAGATAGCGCTTGATATTGCAGTACTTGTCTGAAGAATCCGCTGAATCATAATATACGTGCTGTGCTATCTCGTTATGACATCTTGCTTCAGTTTTAGTGGCCTTTCAGACCGTTGCTCTAATTTGAACTTCTCCATAGCTGTTGTGCTGCTTCTGGAAAATGTGACAATTGTTTTGCATTTCGAAATCAGAGATTGCAACACGAACTCCTTCAACCCGTCCTGAACCACCAAATTCAAGGTGTGGGCTATGAAAGGCAAATGCCGCAATTTTAGCAATTCGTATGCCTTTGTCATGGAGGATGCGTTCCTTCCCAACAGCACACTTTATTAAAAACCGACCATTCCATTAAAACTTCATGTAAAGAATCTGCAATGTTTCTTGCCGTATGATTCGTTATATCGTTGATTATTTTGTGGCCAACACTGCGTGACGAAAATTATATTCTTCATCAATAAATTGACAAGTGACTGTGATATAGGCTTATTATTAATTATTCATTGATGAACAAGAATCTGTTGTTATTGCAACATTTCCGACGTTGCTTAAAATGTTAAACAATTTCGCTTTCCGGCTTTCATAAAAATTTGTGATATGGATATTTTTCAATATATTTTTGCTTGGAAGAACGTACCTTGTATCCAACACCTTTACGAATTTACGAAATGCATTGTCATTAACAATATTGAACGGGTGAAAACTTTCAGTCACTAACTGCGCCAAAGCTGTGTCTATGTCCTTTTTACGTTTAGATGACGAATCGTACTCCACAGGGGTTTGATTCTGTAACTGTGAAAAAATGTAGTGTGCACCGAATGAAAAACTCACAACCAACAACTCACCGAATAAAATTCCGCGAGTTTTCGGAAGAAAAGTGTACACAATTTTGACAGTTAAAACTCATTCTCATACTTGCTGAGTCGCTGAATAAAGAAGTGTACACAGCCAAAACTCATACTCACACTACCTGAATCGCAAATTGAAGAGTGCACACAATTTTCAGTGTACACTTGAAAACTCTCAGTTACAGAATCTAGTCGGTGCTCTTTTAAAATATGAATCGATTGAATCATACCTGGAATTATAACTGGAGCGATTCGATGAGCTGGTACTGGGTGTGTGGTCTCTATCCGATGCTGGGTGCATCCAAGAATGATAGAATACAAGATTGCGCCAATCGAGCTGAGAGCAACTTCCACGTCGTCTGCACAAGAGTCCACGCAAGCACAAGCAGTGGCGCTGCACGCTCATCGACCA